CATTATTTAATGCTCACATATTCTAAAAATAACATTGTTTAACGAATATCTTTCCATACATTTCACAATTAATTTTTTTTTCATTACAAATCTTTCCATATACGAAAATCAATGATGCAATACGCTGCTTCCTTAAATAATATTCCCTTCATCCTGCAAAAAAGTTCTCATTTTGATATAGTTTTGGTCAAACAGCTACACGCTTAGGCCATAACTTAAATATAATCTAAATAAAGAAATTCTAAAAAAATTTAAGATATCAAAACTAGATTTTAAGATGAATTCAATTATATTAAATTTATTTTATAATTCAATATACCTTTTTCACAATTTGTAGTCAAAAGTGTGTAAGTATTTGACTAACTACTATTAAAAATGGAAACTTTTTAGCGGAACGGATGGAGTATGAACATTAAATGTTAAAATCTTCAGGCGTTGATCATTCTAATGGTCTAGTATCAACCGTTCATAAATGTTTGCACATGGGCGAGAACACTGGTGGTGAAAAATTCTCATCCTTTTAAGAATAGATTTGATTTAGGGGCTGTTTGGCAACTTCTGAATAGGTAAGTGCTGAACCAGTAAGAGGTCTGAACCATTAAGTGCTGAACCAGTAAGTGGTCTGAACCATTAAGAGCTAGTATATTGCTTAACTATTCAGAGACAAATGTCTGATCAATTCAGATAAGAGGTCTTAACCATTCAGACTCTGTATAATACTTAACCATTCAGAGGCAAATCTCTTAACCATTCAGACATCTGAACCATTAAGAGGCTGAAACAAACAGTCTCAATCATTAAGTGCTGAACCATTCAGACATCTGAACCATTTAGAGGCTGAAACAAACAGCCCCTTAATGTCTATATATTGTGTGAGGATGAGTATTATTGACGGAAGGGAGGGAGTATTATTTTCATTGAGTATTACCATACGTATTAATTTATGATTTATGCGTTTGGTACCTTAATTAAATTATGGAAACTATATATGGATTGTCAATCGCAAGCAATTATTCATTGGCTACAATTATTGTTACGTTAAGGAAAGAAATAAATGCATGCTCCGTATAATACAATATGGATTGAATTATGAATCTCCATAATAAATACACCCGGATTGGATGGGATTAGAGTATATTCACTTTCCATACAAAACCATCAACTTCTCCTTCCATAATGGGATTTGCAAATAAGAGATTAATTAACAATTATTTTACACCGACTTGCGTAACGTGCATATATATAGTGCCTGCGAATATTGATTGGATGCTCACAACCTCCGATTCAATTTAGAAGAAGACGACGATGATGACCATGTATTCCTCCTCAAAATCATCCTCCCCACTCATTGCCTTTTCCCTAATTGTCATCTTCTTCTGTTGTGAGGCAGCACCACCGCCGCATCTACAGACCGCTAATGACATTTCACTATGTTGCCATAAAAAGGTGGTACGGATTAACAATACAATCCCAACCCATAATCCAATCCAGCCTCCACAACCACTGGTCGTGAAATGTGTTTCCAATAGTGACACGCTGGGGCCTTGGACGTTGGCGGAGAATCAGGGACGTGAGATCCGCTTCCGGGTGGCATTCGATGGCATGACTGTTTTCACGTGCGATTTCACCTGGGGCTCCAGGCACCATGCCGTTACAGTTTTCAACGCCAACCACGACAAGTGTTTCAATGAGATGGATTATTATTGGCAGGTCAAGACCAATGGATTTTACTTATATTGTGGTGAATTCCCAGAGGACAACAAATTTGTCCTCCTAAGTGGTTGGTCGTAGACTAATAATAAGTTGGGTAATAAGTACGGATGGAGTCATGTCTTTCTATTAATCTATTTTGTCTAATAATATGATTAAGATGTTTAAATCTGCATAACAACAAAATAGGTTACACTCCTAAGAAGGATAATATCATAGTGCCACAAGAAGTGTATCCTTTGTTGGCAAGATACTTTCATGTAACATCTGACCAGTTAGATTTGGCCTCAGTTAGTCTTTATTTTTTTCTGATCATCATGTGTAGAAAATAATAAAAGGGAAAATATTTTGTATATTCAATTGCTCTATCTAGTTACAAGGGGTTTCTCCTTTATTTATAGGAGAGGATGATTCCAAAATAGACAAGGAATACAAATCCTACAAGGAAACAAATCATAATCAAACTAGGAAACAAAGAAATCAAAATCAATCCTAATTAGAATGGGATTCGGTCATCAAAGGATTTGGACTTCTCAAGTTTGGATTTCTCGGAATGCGGACCTCTCGGAATTCGGATCTCTCGGAATCCGGATTCCTCGGAAGTCGGACTTCTCCGGATCCGGACTTCTCAGCGCCAATACCCCCCCTCAAGCTGGAGCATGCGGATTCTGGATGCCCAGCTTGGACAGTAAATGAGAAAACGGAGCGGAAGCCAAAGCCTTTGTAAAGAGATCTGCCGGTTGATCATTGGTGGAGATGTGGCGAGTACACAAAACACCTCGTTGGATTTCGTCACGTACAAAGTGGCAATCAATCTCAATGTGTTTTGTACGTTCATGGAAGACCGGATTAGCGGCAATATGAAGAGCAGCCTGATTATCACAAAACAACCGCATGGGCTGTTTGTGACGCACACCAAGGGAGAAGAGAAGGGATTTCAGCCATTTGAGTTCACAAACAGTAGTTGCCATGGCCCTGTATTCGGCTTCAGCCGAAGAAC